GGCTATTTTTTTTGTTGCAGTTCAGCTGGGGCTGGGTATGAACCCTCCACCCTCAGTATATGGGGCCGGCACCCTACTCACTGAGCCACAGGTGCTGCCCAGGGCCTCTTAAATTTTTAAGCATCCTGAACTCCCAAAACAAAATGAACAAAATATATGTTCTTGGAAACATGATTGTAGTGAACTTGAACCCCACCCCTCCGTGCAGTGGGGGTGATTTTGTAACAAGCAGGAGTCAGACTTCCCAGATGATAATTAGATCACTGTAGAAGAAAGATGATTCTGACACTTGTTTAACACACTCAGGAAGACTTTCTGACCACTGCGCTGCAGTTCCGAGTGTTGCACTGGATAGGAGAGAGTGAACTTCACGGTGAGTAAGACAAAGGCACCTGGAGATGTGTAGCCGAACTGCTGAGCTGGAGGCTGACAGGATGAAAAATCGCCGAGAGGAAGCTGACTAGAGTCAGAGCGGGAGGACTTTGGCTAGCCTACTTTACCAGGATTCTTGATAGTACCAGGCCAAAGACAGATCCTCAAGGTAGGGGATGAGGGCCATGATCAGACAGTAATGCATGATCAGACAGTAATGGCGGGACATTATCTACAAAGTGACTCAGCAGGGTTCTTTGCCAACTCTGGCCTCAGTGGGTCAGGACCTGGTCAAGGAAAGGACCCACAAGGCCAGACTAAAATTTGGCGAAAGGGAGTTTTTGTCAGCACGTAAGAGGTAAAATCTGAGTACCGTGAGTTTATTTGTAGGTGTTTGGGGTGTGACACTCCGGCTTGTGGAGGAGCTTAGAGGAAGATTGGTCCGCGTCTGCAGAGTGCCTGCACACACAGAGCCCTGAACACCAGCCACGGCTGGGGCTGAGCTGAACGCAGCATGGGGCTGCTGTCCAAATAACAGGTGTGTTTGGAGGGTGGTACAGCTGAACAAGTAGGTGACAACAAGTTACAGGAAGCCTAGATAAATCGGAGGTTAGATCATATTTAGTAAGTTATGAGAATTGTAGTTGGGAGATGTTATCATCGATTAACATAAGAAAGTTGAAAGGGGAGCTGATTTTAGAGGAGAGATAATAGGTTCAGTTTAAGACATGCTGAGTTTGAGGTGATGACATAATACTTAAGAGTCCTGAAGCAGTACCAGTCTGGGAAGAGACAGGAATTCATGGTAGTGATGAAACTTCAGGATTTGCCCGTGTATCTTAGCCATTAATTCCTAACCTAGGTGGCGACTGGATACACACTATCTTTCCAGGTCTCAGTAGTGACAGTTATCTTTAACTGATTGTGTATCGAGGCTAATTATTTGCATTTTAATCTTTGTCTTTGCTCCTTATTGATGTTTTCACTTGCTAGGTGAGGGGAATGTAAAGTAAAACAACATCAGTTGGAGTGGATTGAGTCAGAGCTGCTCTTCACTGCTCTGCCTCCCCCAGCCCAGGGCCCTGTCGCTCATCACTGTCTGTCTAAATCCTGTTTGTCATTTAAGATTGACTTCAAACCAACCTTGTCTGTGAAAAATGCTTGAGAGTTTGACTGAGCCCCACCTCCCGGCTCCCACGGCCCCTACCGGGACCAGGAAGGTGTGTGCTTCCCCTGACCCTTCAGTTCTTCCAGGTCCACTGGGGATTTGTGTTTTTGTCTTACAAACATCGTAACACCCAGCCCAGCACAGGGATGGACGTTCAGTAATGTGTGAAGGAATGAATGGCGGCCGGATCCTTGAGAATGACAGGATGAGCAGAGAAAAGCAGTGGACTGAGGGCTCAGTGAAAGACTGAGAAGGAAGGTGGGATGGGAAGGAATGCGAAGGTCGGGGAGACTGAACAAGTGGTGCGAGGGGAGTGACCCTGGAGCTCTCGCCCCGCTGCCTTCTCCCTCCTCACTCTCACCCGCCTGGATCTGCATTAGGAATGAGTGAAGCCGGAGCGGCCACCTACCATGTCCATCCGCCCATTCTTTAGGACTGGCAAAAAGGACTGTTCAGTGAGAGTCAAAATACTTCATGAGAGTATTGATGAAGTGAAGATAAGTAGGATCCATCAGTACGGGCCCCAGAGCAAAGCAGCATGTGGGCATTAGAGCTATTTTCTGGCATAAATCCTGTGCCCTGTGGGGAAACATCTAGAGAGGTGGTGGCTCATTTCTCTCGGCCCAGATGTGAGTGAAAACCACATTCAGATTCATTTGATATTTGTCTTTTTTATGGTAAGGATAATTTATTTAGATCTTGGTTTGTCTAGCAGAGGACATTGCTCGGGAAGCGGGAAGGACAGATGATTTGGAACCTAAAAGATGGGACTGATGTCTGGGTTGTGCCGAGTGTCCTTTCACAGATGACTCCACTCCTCAGAGCCTCCATCCCTCCATTTACCATGTGAGAGTAAAAATAAAGACACAGATCCACTGAGAGTCTGCATGGGCCAGGACGACTAAGAAAGAATTGGGGCTGCATGGGAACCTGTGAGGTGGGAAGCACCGTGCCGGCCCCGGTAAGTAGTGTTCACAAAGATGATGTTTGTATTTCTTTGTCTTGGTCTTAAAAATAAAGATATTTAATATGTCCTTTCTTCTCCCTCCAGAAACTTCAAAAGGAGTTGCAATGGTTTATTTCATCCTTTGTAAAGGATTTCTTCTTAAATTCTCACCAATGGTGCAAAGTGGATCCTTTAATTTATAATTCAAATACTATTTGCCTGGCGAAAATGTTGGCCAGAAATTGATTTAATAATAAATGGCTTTTTAGATAAAAGCAGAAATACAAAATGTGGACATACTTAAAGCAAGCCAAGTGTTATGTTTTTTTCAACTTTAAAATGATGACTCTTATTGTGAGTGATTGCCCAAGTTATAATGAGTTCAGCAAGCTCATTCTTGTGCGATTTCTAAAGCCGAAATCATATTTGAATAGTGAAAGTCACTTTTTCTGGTAAATCTAATTTCTTGGATGGACCTAAGACAAATGTTAACCTTTATCAACTGGAACAAGTTTCCATGTACAGAAAATATGAGCAATTGAAATTCCAGGTAGAAAGGCACAATACTTCAGCAAATATGTTTATAAGTTATTTACAGTAATTTAGGGCAAATGAGAGTCCACAGTCTGAAAGTGTAAGCAGTACTTACATGCTTTGGCCTTTGAAATAGCACTTCAATATCAATAATTATACCCAGATGAATCCTGAGAAAATACACAAATGTTATATTAAGCTTAAGGCTTTCTTTCACCCAAACTCAACATCTTCCTGAGAATCTGGACATTATTGTTACTGCTGTTACTGTTTTGGCACTTGACTAGTTCTAGCCAATCTTTAGGGCACAGATCAAGGCACTGTTGTTCCTCGATGTGGTATCTGGAAAAATGTTAAACAGCACAATGGCTTTAAAGGGAAATGTTATACTTTTTTTGGGGGGGTGCAGTTTTTGGCCGGGGCCAGGTTTGAACCCACCTCCTCCAGTGTATGGGGCCAGCACCCTACTCCTTGAGCCACAGGCACTGACCACCCGGAAATGTTATACTATTAAGTGTAATTATATTAAATACTTAACAGAAAGAACTCACCATAGTAAAACTGAATAGCAAAACTAAAATGGATATTAAACTTCTGTTTTTTCATAAATCTGTTCTTCCATGCAACTAAATTAATAAAATACTTTCATTAACAGGTTTGCTGTTGCCGAACTTGCGATGATTTTTCTTGGAATCCTATATAGGTTGCTAGCATCGTTTGAGCTGGAATAGTTCTGTTCACAGCACTGGCGCATTTCCTGAACCCATATGTGCATTTTTTTGTTGTTTTAAGTACTTTTATATACACAATTATGCCCACAGGTAATAAGAAACCAGTGTTTCAGAAGAAAACCTGATCACATGGCTAGATAACACAGGTATCCCGAACCAGTGTGTGAGCGCCTGCAGGCTTTCTGCGGCTGCCAGAAGTACATATTTCTTTGATTAGTAAGAACTGCCAGGTGACGCTTCATAAAATATAAATGCAACAAAGTCTGAGAGAGCGCAATAAAACCTTCCACCCCTCAGTCTTGGAGGACAAGCGCAAGAAGGTTAAGCAACTGCAGGAAATGGCTTTGGAAGTTCCAATTTCTGTTTATCTTTTATTCAATGGTAGGTAATTTCTTTTTTGTCTTGTTAACTTGTAAAATATGAACAGGATCTACGTTCTCTGCATTAGAAGTTGGCTCTCAAGAATTGTTCTTTATGACAGAGATCAGAGCAAGGAACCTGTGGATTAATTATCTTATGTGGTGTACGTTTCTCTTCTAATACGTTTTGACAACTTTTGTGAGACCTCCAAAATATTTGCTTCCTATTATTGAAGGGTAATGGATAAATTTAGCTAGTATACCGTAGAGCCCTCATGACTGATGGGCATGTAAGTGTATTCACTTTTTAAATAAAGAGTAATATGTTTTTAGCTTTTATAATTATAACGTAGTCAACGGAATGAATGAGAAGCAGTAAGGACACTGCCCTCGTCAGGCGATGGATTTCTATAAATTAAAGACGAGAAACAGGAATGGGCAGAATGAGGGGACGTCCGTCTGTGGCGTGTGCGCAGGAGGCTCGTCTGTGACAGGTGCTTTCTCCCTGTGCTACAGCAATGACGGCGCTGGCTGAAGAGGCAGCTGTCACCTCGACGCCTGCAGCCATAGCCCCAGGAACCAACGGGACCATTAACCAAACTGAAGGTATCTGCTTCCCACTTTGGCACTTCAAGTAACTTTTCTTAAAACCTGTGAGAGACAGTTGGACTGTGATAAAAAGAACATTGGCAGTTTTTAAATGTGTATTTTATTATTAGGTAACCAACTCTTAGCTAGATGCTATTAAACGGAAGGGCGTATAAATGTGTCAGCACAGAGTCGCCTTTTTAAAAGAAGGAAGTGGAGCAAATGAGAGAAGTAGACGTCCTTGCAGTTACTGTTCCGAATGGGAGAAGCAGCTCACTTTCTGCCCGCCCTCTGCTGGGCCCAGCGAGCTGTTGTCCCCTCGGGCATCTTGAGGAGCAGTATCTTATTTTTTTCTCTGTGTCTGAAAGCTTTGCAGCCAAAGAAATTATGACTACAGGATGAAAAGTACTTTTTTCTTGTTTATTTGGTTTTTGTTGTTGTTGTCGTCTTTCTCTTCTGTTGTTTTAGCACCTACCATATTTCCTAACTCCTTATAAGACTGGTGGTGGTTACGTATTTTCTTTCCTGTACTATTACTATCGTTACAATGGCTTCTGGCTGCTGCTGGGCATCCGCATTTTTTTCAAACCTGTTTGAACTCTCAGAGGTGAACTTAGAGGCTCGTTACTTGCTGAGACCTGTGAGGGAGGGCTGGGTTCTCCTGCGGTTCCCGTCCTGCCCCCGATATGAAGACCGACCGTGTGACTTAGGACAGAGGAAACAGTATCTTGTGCTCAGAGCCAGGCAAATAAAAGAAGATCAAGTCGAAGATTTTGCTTCTTACTAGGAAAGATAGTGGCATCTAAGTGTTCCTCATTTCACTGACAATTTTAAATTTTAGAGATGAATTTAAAATATTTTACCCATTTGATTTTGGGGGGTATCAATTTGCAAAATAAACTCAGTGTGGAATCATCTTTTGCCACTTTCTTCTTGTCTTCTGAGCCTTTGAACAAGAGGGAACATTAGAATGTGATAACGCTGTAGAAAATCAATGGTGAACCACAAATAAAATTCTCCAAGTTACAGGTAATAGGAATAGATAAGAAGGGATCCAGTACAAATGTCCCTTGGTAGCCACTGGGCATTGCCAGGGAATAATACCACCCCATCACCACCACCCCACCCTGAGAATACCAAAATCCATAGACACTCAAGCCCCTTTTATAAAAAAGGCGTAAGACATATTAGCATGCAACACATATGTACATCCCATTACTTTAAATCATCTCTAGATTACTAATACCTAATACAATGTAGATGCTATGCAAGTAGGTGTTATAATGTATTGTTTAGAAAATAATGGCAAGAAAAAAGTGTGTGTTCAGTGCAGACACAGCATTTTCCAAATATTTTCCATCCTC